CCTGCGATCACTACTTTTGCGGAAACACCTCGCACCTGCGCTTCCCGGCTTCCTCACCATTTCCTCTTCTGCGACTCGCTGCCCGCATCTGCGCCATCGCAGTTGCGGAAATTACATCGCACCTGCGACCTCAGCTGACAACCTCAAACTCCGCACCTGTGCTCAAGATGTCGCACCTGCAGCATCACATATGCGCCCAAATCTCCACTTCTGCGGTCTTCCTCAACCAGCACTATTCTCGCATCTGCGATGCCTTTGTCGCTTCTGTGGCCTCGCACCTGCGCAAACCAACCACAGGTGTGATCATACTAGAATCAGCAACCTCCAGCTTTGCACATGAAGTGAAAAATGATTCGAACCTCGTCCAAAACTCATTCGGGTCACTCGGGACCCCGTCCGAATATACTAACAAATCTAATAACATAACAGGAACCTACTCGAGGCCTCAAATCACGCTTAACCACATTTAAATGATGAATCACAGCTCAAATCGAAATCTTTAAACTTTGAAACTTTAACTTCCACAACCGATGCTGAAACCTATCGAATTACGTTTGATTGACCTCAAATTTTGCACACAAGTCATATTTCATATTATGGACCTATTCCAATTTCCAGAATCGGATTTCGACCCCGATATCAAAAAGTCCACTCCCTGTCAAACTTTTTAAAATTTTAACTTTTGCCATTTCAAGCCAAATTCCACTACGGACCTCCGAATCAAAATCCGGACGCGCTCCTAAGTCCAAAATTACCTAACAGAGCTAACGGAACCATCAAAACTCCGTTCCGGGTTCAAATTCAAAAAAAGTCAAACTTGGTCAACTCTCCCAATTTAAAGTTTCGACAATGAAATACATTCTTCCAATTCAATTCCGAATAACCTGAAAATCAAAACCGATGATTCACATAAGTCATACTGCATCATACAGAGCTACTCATGCTCGTAAACTACCGAACAAAGTGCAAATGATCAAAACGACCGATCTGGTCGTTACATATTCTATGCCCCTCCCGTTACAAAGTAGACTTAGAGAAACATGTTGAGATGTCACATTTAGTATAAAATTTTATCTGTCTTCTTTACTGGTAGTGGATGAAGGAGAAGAATAAATGCCTTAGATAAAAGAAATTTGGGAGATTATGGGTTTTTGTTAGGACTTGAAGTAATTTTTAAAAGTTTGCTAGTAGTAAGGGCAAAATTCACCGAATAGTATAATGGTGGGGGTAAATTTGACCGGATAGTATAACGAATGTTAAATATAGACAATATTTGAAAGTAGAGGGGTATATTTGGCCATTTTTCCTTGTTATTAAATTAAGTGATTGTTGTGATTATAGAAGGAGATAGGTAAAATGTATGTTAATTCACATTTTTGCTTCTATTTCACTTGTACATCTTTTTTGTGTTTTACTTAGTATTGCTATAGTAGTGAAAATAAATCTCATTAGTTCTTAGTAAGATATAACCAGTGCATATTATATAATATGTTTCTTTTTAATTTTTAATTTTATTTTGAATGTGTAGGAAAATACGGGTGATGCAATTGGAAATGGTGGCCACAAATCAATTTGATCTATTAAAGTGAATGGTGAAGAACTTTTGAACAATCGTGATGTTTATTTTTATTGATACTATAAATATGAATACATTTAGTTTTGTAGAGCTCTTTGCTAATGAACTTCTTGAACCAACTATGCGTTATTACTATGGATAGTACACAAAGTATGTTTCTTTGTTGAAGTTTAAACAATTACTTCATAGTGTAGACAAAATTGCCACGCTTAGAAAGTGTGGCCATGGGGATTGTCAATCTGGCGTTGTTAATAATAAATGTTGATTTAGAAGCCACACTTTAAAAGCGTAGTCTATAAGGTGACAAAGATCACGCTTTAAATGTGTAGCCTTATGTCATAAAAGTGTGGCTATATGAGAAAATATAAGCGTGGCCTTTGTACCATATCGGCCACACTTTTAAAGCGTGGCTTCTAAGGTAACACCTACAAAGCGTGGCCAATAGTCAAAGATTACGGTACTTTAGGCCACCCCAAAAGCGTTGCCTAATGCGGTAAAGTGTTGTCTTTGACCAAATGCTATACTTCTTGGCATCTTAAGCCACACTTCTCAGGGGTGGGTAGAGACCTAAAATGTTATAGTACGGCTGTCAGTCAAATACAGGAAAAAGAGGGATAGATTTCGACCTTGCTTTTTTAGGAACTTTGCTTTCTGGTTGGAAAGTGTCTCTGTCCTTTTCACTTCTTTACTCCTTTCGTTCACTTTTTCTAATATTTTTAATACCAACTAATTTATTCCGGCGAAACATCTTACGATGTCATGATGCGCCCATTCTTATGGCCATTCCTTTAATACTTTTGGCTTTCGGGAGTCTCTTTGCAGGCAAAAAGGGACAATCAGTGAAAATTTTTGGAGACTAGAATACCATACCCCTTCCTTCACTGGGCTTCTCGATATATATGCCTTCCAACTTGATGTAATCTTGTTTATTTTTAATGAAGTATTTAAGCCAGTTTCAAAGAAAAAGGTATTTCTTAGAAGCAAACACCGTCTTACATTGTATGAAAATTTTTTGTTGATGTATAATTAATATATAATTTATGTATATTGACTATCAAAAATAAATATTTTTGTTGAAGTGGAAAATGTGTAGCTTCCCCAAAACATTACGATCGCTAATCCAAACGAGCTCGCAGTCTCCTTCCAATTCATTTATTTAAAAGCATATGATATTAAATTTTGAAAGAAGAACAAGGAAAGAAACAAGGCAACGGTAAGGATGTCACATTTTTAAAGTCATTAATTTCAAATCATTAGTAGTATACAGATGTCAAGAATAAAGTATACACAGACACAATTCCTTTTACTCTACGCGATTTATGCCTAATAAAGGGACCACCCCATTTTCCAGCTTGCTAGGTACTAGCTGTCGCATTATGCATATTGGAAGAGTGCTTTATAGGTAACTTGGCTATTCAAAATTTTTATTAATGGTCACGTATTAACCATAAAGTTGACTTTAATTAAGGTCAGCTCAGCTAAAGTTTCCACAGACTACTCGACAATACGTTAAAAAAAAAGGAAACAACTTTTCAAAATATTTTGGGAATTGGGATTGATATACTTAACAATATAGAACAGCAAACTGAAGTTTGGAACTTTGAACGAGTAATGTGAGATCTCAATAGTTCATAAACATGTCTGGTTTCTAACGATTACTCAAAATTGTGAAAACCTTAGTTCAAATTCAAGTAAAGACAAAAAAGATCAGATGATTTCATTTAAATTTTGATGGTGATAGAGTTATGATGTCTATCTTGAAAAATATAAAATAATTGAGGACACACAAACTATTTCGGACATCATCATTATTAAGCTTGATGTCTAAAATATATTTACGTGCACGCACAAACTAATCAAGACACAATTGGTATTAAAAAAAGAAAATTATGTATAGTGATATATAGATCCTGTGAGTTTTTGTTTAGTGGAAGCTGAATTGCAATGCAAGCAAAAAAGGTTTACGTTGCATGTTTTTTGTTTCTTTGAGATCATTACCACCTAATACTCCAATTAGTAATTACCCCAATTTTAGTGCTTTTAGCCTTTGCAATTTTGCATTCATCAATAACGCTATCTCTCCTGCAGCATAGTGGCCCAGCATGCAATTTTCTTCTCCCAAAAGAATAATAATAAAGGGGGCTGGGGACTCATAATCAGTTCATATTTTGTTGTTTTTCTTTCCCCTCTAAAGAAAAGTAATCTCGTAATTACTTTTGAGGTAAAAGTGATTTCATGTTAAATGGTTTTGATTAAACCAACAACAATTGTGATTAAATGTTTACAAATGTTACTAGATGTTAAAAATTAACTCGTAATTCTCCGTAATTAATGGTCACATGCTAGGATTGAACCTAACAAAGCACAAAGCACACTAACGGAGTAATAGCTAAATGACAAATTAAAACTCCATGTCTTAGTACCTTTATGTCATTTTGCAAAAACTTAAGAATAAAGAATACCAGCACATCGTTTTGAGGTCGTGCTTTAAACCAAGAAAAACACCCAGAATATAACTAGTATCTTATTAATGACCCATCTGGATTTTATCTCGCGGTAAGTTACCCTTTCTTAATTAATACAACTTGCTTGTACAAAGTTATATATAGATCTGCCACAGTTCATGGTACAGGTTTTCCTCATTAACTATTTTTCATTGCCACGTGTGAGACATTACTACAATTTCCGGTCTAGTGCATGTGGAGAAATTGTTACTAATCTGAGTTTGAAAGGATCAAGTTGATTACTAGTTTGGACATTACTAATTTTGTAATAACCAAACCTCAATTTTTTGGGATCAAATCTACATATGTATGTACAAAAGAATATAACATATCATGTGCATTCCCAATTTACCACATTCAACCACTGCAATTCCCAATTTACCACATTCAACCACTGCAATGCGACCTCACCGAATTTGTGCAACCAACCGCGGTGACATCAGACGTTCATTGGCCTGATTAAATCGATTAGCGTTGTACAACGTCCAATGACCGTAAAAAGGAAAGTAATTTTATTAGATTATATCCTCAAATATTATACTAGGTTTTGTTACCTTACACCAACACAACTACTATATCAAATAACAATTCCCACCATTAGATCTTACCGTTGAAACATTCATTCATTAATTTACTAATTCTATTTATTATAAACAATATAGTCATGTATCAGGGTAATTTCATAGAATCATTTTACAATGCCACTACATGTATTTAGATGTTAAACTTCAACAAAGCAGTAAAAACCATAGCTACCTTTAAGACAACAATAGAACATCATTTGATTAGTACTTTAATATTTATGAAAGCAGTAATGGAGATCACATGATTATCCAGGTGGGTCCCTAACTCCCATCCCACACACCCAACTCCATCAGATCGTACAAACTAACGCCAACTACAGATCTGTTTGGTAGTCACAACTTACTTCTGTACTAAGATGTAGAAAGACCTTCTACCTTTCTACTTTCCTTTTCCTCCCTTTTACTCTTCTCCCAAACAACCCCTATATATTACCCTTCCCTTGCTTGTCTTTAATAGCCGCAGACTACACCTCTCTCTCTTCAAAGTAGTGTTATTGTGTGCACACATAACAAAACATATTGAGAAAATGGATCGGAAAAATGCTATTTGGATCGGTTTTATTTGCATTATAATCGCCGGCGTTGGAGGTCAAGCTCCGGCCACGTCGCCTAGTGCCACTCCAGCACCACCAACACCCACTACCCCATCTCCTCCTACTACCCCTGCACCTACTGGTTCTCCTCCGCCAACTCAACCGCCTCCGGCATCTTCCCCACCGCCGGCCGTTTCATCTCCGCCACCTACATCAGCTTCACCACCTCCAGCTGTATCAGCTCCGCCACAAGCTACACCTCCACCGGCAGCTACTCCTCCAGTGAGTCCTCCACCACCAGTTAGCGCTCCACCACCGGCTACTCCTCCACCTGTGGCTACCCCGCCACCTCCTGCTACGCCACCTCCCAGCCCTCCTCCGCCAGCTGCAGCACCTGCACCAGTTGCAACTCCACCAGCTTCAGCTCCGGCTGCTGCACCTACGTCTGTACCCACATCTCCGGCACCATCTCCATTGGGAGTATTGAGTCCTCCAGCACCTCCCATGGGTGCTCCATCCCCGAGTACTCCAGCTTTTTCTCCTGGTCCATCAGTAGCCACTGATCAGGTATTTTTTCACTCAAATCTCGGTTTATAGTATTTAAAACTCTTGCGTCATATATATCCTGTTAATAATTAGGCTCTTGATTTTTTTCATTTTTCCTTTCATTTTCTGATTTCATAGCATTATAGCTTGGATCATACTTCTAGTTTGACTACATTATTATGCTCCACTATTTACGTTGTCTTAATCTTTCTGTTTTCATTTTCATTTGTTTTTGCAATATTCCTGTAATAAGTATGGGTAGAGATTAATATCTTCCCATACTAATAATAATAACATGAAATCAGAAAATAAATATAAATAATCTGATTACTCCTTTTATATAATGTTATTATCTTAAGGTGTATGCAAAAGATTAGAGTGATAAGTGAAAGGGGAGGAAATAGTAGTTTATGTTTTAATTTTAAATCTGTTAGGAGATTATGGATCATACCATAGAGAAATGAGGAGTTTTGGAGCTAAATAATTCTTAAATGTGTAATTAAAATGGAGCGCATAATAGTCAAAGTTTGTATAGGTATTCTAACACGAACTAGTTCTCGGAAAGTGTGACTGAGAAAGCCCAGCCCAATATTGTCGATATGGGAATTTGGGCCTAATGGGATCAGGTGTGGTCGGGAACATGTGAGCTTTGTCGACGCTTTAGTCTATGATTGGTCATATCAGAGTTTCTCAAATTTAATGATTATTCACTAGGGACATGTCACGTGCTTTTTCTGCTTGGCCATGATGAGAACCCTGAATATCACTATACTAGACCTGCTCAACTATACTACAACAACAACAACAACAATGCTCAAGTATACAACAACAACAATCCTAGTATAATCCTACTAGTAGTGTTTGGGGAGAATAGTGTGTACGCATACCTTACCCCTACTTTGGGGTAGAGATGCTGTTTCCGATAGACCCTCGGCTCCCTCCCTCCAAGAACTCTCCAGCTTGTTCTTAGGGGTGACTCGAACTTACAACCTCTTAGTTGGAAGTGGAGGGTACTAACCATTAGGGCAACCCACTCTTGTATATGGAAGAAAATATATGAGCCCGTTTGGCCATAAAAAAAAAAAAATTCAATCAGTGTTTGGCCATAATTTTTCAATTTTCACTTGAAAATAAATGTCGAAATTTTTTGAAAATTTGAAAAGCTCCAAAAATTGTTTTTCAAATTTTTTTACTTACATCGCTCACAAAAATTTAAAAATAACCGAAAATTATATTCATGTTCAAACACAACTCTAATTTTCAAATTCCCTTTTGCTTGTAAAAAACATTTACTTTTTTTCAGAATTTTACAATTTTCTTATGTCCAAACGGCCACATAGTATGTGAAAATGGAGTGAATAAAGTTTTATAGTATATGAAATAAGATAGGTTGTCTGCTATAAAAATGTTAATATTGATAGGTTAAAATTATTTTTACATTATTAGTGTATATAAGTTAAATTCAAACGGGAGAAGAATAATATTCCAAAGTGATATGTAATCTTTGGTAAAAGAAATGACAATCTTGTAACAGTGCATTACCGTATCTAGTACATCCATTTTTCTCTGTACCTGAGAAAGGAAATGAAACGAACAGTCCGATCAAAATTATTAAAAAATTTCTTATTTATATCCTCAAATATATACTAAAAAATAATTTACACAATTTAGTGAATATTGATTGTAAAATTACTGATATTTAACTGAAAGCATATAATGTGTGTTTAGCATGAAGTTGTTTAATTAGAAGCAGAATATTGTTCAGGTTCATGTTCATCTTTTTATTTGGATATAAAACTTGGAAGTAGCCATAACGACAAATGATAACAGTGTAGTACGTATTTATAGAACAAAAAATAATTGAAGAGACAGAAAGAATACTGGTGTCAAGTTTTCATGTCCCCAAAAAACTCAAAACTCAGAATCGTTGGCAAATTGTTGCTAATTTTGTTATCTTATAATTTGATGCATTTTCTAATAATCTGCAGAGTGGAGTGGAGATCATGAGGTTTTCAAAGATGATAATGGGAAGCTTGGTCTTCGGATGGGGTGTCTTCTGCTTGCTGATTTAGAACTACTTTTGCCACTATATATATATGAATTGCCATCTCTTTAGCTTAGGAGGACGATGGTGGCTTATTTTTCTCATTCACTTGGATTCTTTTGGAGATTTTTTGTATTTTGGGACGGTTGTTTTTAAATTTAAAGCTCTTCATCCATTCGTGTTTTTATTCTTTATATATTTCTCACTTTCATGTCTATTAGCTTCATGTCTTGCGGAAAATATCAAACCTAAGATCACAAAATGGATAAACTTGTTTAAGTTCTATGCAAGGTCGATGTTAATTTTTTTTCCACATGACTATTAGATCGCTTTAAAAGTACTTAAAAGTGAATGCCCATAATCAATGGAAATTGTGATGTAGAAAAATCAGTTAGAGAATCAGATACAATGATTTAGAGAATTTTCAATAGAGATTTGGAGAAATCGACTCCTTCTTGATTGGTATTGCAATAATCTTTATTTAAAGGATTTGTGGATCTTAGCTTTAATTGTATTTGATTTCAATAATGAGAAGATTTTTAGTATTAGATGTGGCCTATAAATAGCCCCATTGTAAATAATCTAGAAGTTAAAAACAATTCTCTCCTTAAGATTTTCTCTGTAAACACTTGTTTCTTCTCTGTTCAGGCTTAGCCGAGAGCAAACTTTCTCTGATAAACTATTTCACATTCTTTTCTCCTGGTTGTTTTCTTGTTTACTCGTCCTACACCGATTTAACCAAGAAATAAGGCAATTAGTGACCTTCTGCAACATGTCAATGTAAAAATTTATTTACTCCATCCATTAACATAAATCCTATGATAAATCTTATGGAACTGGGTAACACAGATCTTTGGCACCGTTTCTAAATTATGTCATTTGTATTTATGCATAAAGTTCAAGAAAGTTGGGGAAATTAAGGGAAAATTTTGAAAAATGCAATGCAATTGTGGCTTGCAGTAAAATGGTTGAGTCGTCGAAATGCTTTAAATGAAGGCATTGACAAATCGTTTGTCTGCCTGCCTTTGTGATATTCACCTTAGTTATTCCCTGCTCTGCAAAGAGTAAATTTTCTTTACTGAAAAGTGAAAACTCCAGTCACAATATGTTAGAGATATAGTAGATATTCTCTAGATCCAATTTCATATGTGATGATTTGAACATATTTTTGTGAACATTATTTGATATAAAATATATGGCATTTGATATTCTTTTATCATAGTTATTATCAATTGCTTGATTAATTTGATAAGGTCCTTGATTAAATTTTAAGACTTGTCATCGTGATGGAGATCATGATAATGAGAGTGAAGTTTCTTATAATTTAACATAAATTTGTTCTTGATCGTAGGATTATTAATTTGGACATTGGTAATCCGGTTAGATCAATATTTATGTGATCGTCTTTATGGGATAAAGATTAGTAGATCTCATTAACTAAATCACATAGATAGATGATGCATATAGAGATATGATCATTGAACCGACTCATTGGATAATTGCTAATAGTTAGAATTACCATAAACTGTCAATAGGATATTTTCTTAAAGAATGTGATGTAAAAATTTTCTTTGACCTGAGATCGTCACAGTAATTGAGAAGTTATTTATTGTGCTTTGATACTAGACACCTATGGCCCTATGGCGATAGTTGAATTATATTGGGTACGATTGAATACTTGTAGAATTAGTGATTGATCAAGATGGAATTTGTCAATTCTTGGTAATGAGTTTAAGCTCAATGTTGTCATGAATTATAAAGACCAAATTAAGACCTTGGTCAGGGCAATTGAATGAAAGAAGAAAAGAGTTTCTTAGGTCATTCAATGGTCGATTATATTTGACATGAACACATAGTTGGTCGCCTATTAGGATTTGACAGTTGAACTATATCCTAGGGTGACCCAGAGCTATAAGGACAGAAGGAATTACTACATTATTCTTCTACTGGTTCTTGAGAGTAAATTGTATACTTCATGCTATCCGGTTGTTAAGGAGTGTTGCTATACGCCACCCTTGATTAGTATATTGATATAATCAATTTACTACCGGTTTAGTATTGAACCTATGGGGTCGCACACCAATGAGTGTTTTGATCTTTGCTAAAGGATTAATTAACTTACTATTTGACAATTGAATTAAAGAATTTAATTAGTCAGATAAATAAAGTTATAGTCCAAATGAAATATTATTATACTCTTTGCTAGCATAAATAATATAATTAATATTGTGAAATAATTAAAGTTTTTTATTTGGAATAGAATAAATTATATCTCTCGGTTGAAATATATATGTGATATATATATATATATATAATTAATATTGACGTGAAGTCCATAAAGGACGTGCGGCTACTTCATCCTATGATGAATGGGATTTGTTTTTCTATAGTAAAATACTAACATGGATTTTAGAATCAAATTTGGAATTGGATATGCAAAGTAAGCTTTCTCAGCAGTCATGTTACCCATGAATGGGAATTTCGATTTTTCCATAAGAAAATTCCCACGAAGTTTATTTTTGAAATTAAACTTCTACCCTAAATTATTATCTTAACCAAATAGAAAAAGGGCTTATAGGTGATGATATATAAAGGGTGATAGGAGGAAATTTATTGCATTAAGTCTTGAGAAGAAAAATCACTTTGTGAAAGTGAGAGTGCAACACAAGCCAAGAGAGAAAATACCATTACAAGAAAAGTGTTTCTTGTTCTTCTATTTTTAAGTTGAGATTTTTGAAAATTTCAACACAATATTTCATTCAATTTGGGCACGAGTTTCATTGATCAAATAGTTCATAGTAAGGATCGGTCTCGGTGTGGATACGCATAGAGTATTCGCACTATCGAAGAAAATTTTGAAATGAAGCTCCCTTCACCACGTACGTCTCAGATCCGATCTTTGACGTGTAAATAAATTTTAAACACGAAAAGATCTGCCTAGAATTATTATTGTCTTCCGCTGCGTGTTACGGACATCTGTATGCAATCCTATAGTGGTATCAAAGCCGTGGTTTATTATGTCTAAAATTTATTTACGAAATATTTCAAGATTATATTTGAAGAGTTCCAACCATAATACATGTATCTTGTGCAATAGTCAAATTGTTTGAATGCATATTGTAACGACCCGGCCGGTCGTTTTGAGAGTTATAGCCCCAATCCCCTATTTAACTGCTTCTTCTATAATTATTTCTGCTATTGTGACTTGCCGGGAGGTTTCGTTTTGGTTTTTGAAGTGTTTTGGGACACTTAGTCCCTAAAATGGGAGCTTAACTCTTAAGATTTTGACCATAGTCGGAAATGTATGAAGACGACTCCGGAATGGAGTTCCGTCGGTTTCTTAGATCCGTTAGGTGATTTTGGACTTAGGGGCGTATCTGGATTGTGTTTTGGAGGTCCGTAGCTTATTTAGGCTTGATTTGGCGAAAGTTGAATTTTTGGAGTTTTGGACCGGTAGTGAAAATTTGATATCGGGGTCGGATTTTGATTCTGAAAGTTGGAGTAGGTCCGTAATGTTGAATATGACTTGTGTACCAAATTTGGGGTCAATCGGACGTGGTTTGCTAGGTTTCAACATCAGTTATAGAATTTGAAGTTTCAAGTTCTTTAAGTTTGAATTGGAGGGTGATTTGTGATTTTAGCATTGTTTGATGTGATTTGAGGGCTCGACTAAGTTCGTATGGTGTTTTAGTATTGGTTGGTATATTTGATCGAGGTCCCGGGAGCCTCGGGCGTGTTTCGGATGCTCAACGGGTCATTTTTGGACTTAAGGAGTTGATAGTTTTTGCTGGTGTTCTGCAGCTGGTTTCCTTCATCGCGATCGCGTGAGAAGGCTCGCGATCGCGTAGAGTAATTGGGAGACCAGTTGGGTTATCTCTTCTTGTTCGCAAAAAATAGGACGCGATCGCATAGGTTCGTCAGGTTATGCATCGCGAACGCGTAGGCTAGGCCGCATTCGCGATGAAGAAATAAGGCAGCAGCGAATTGGGTGTTGTTCTTCGCGATCGCGTGAGGTCAGTCGCGATTGCGTAAGTCTGAGGAGCTATTTTATCGCGTTCGCGTGGAGAGTTATGCGTTCGCGTAGAGTAAAATAATGGGGCAGCAAAGTTGTTCTTCGCGATCGCGAGGGTGTTTCCGCGATCGCGATTAAGGAAAAATATCTAGGCAGAATTAAAGTTCAAAATCGAGGGTTTTGGTTCATAACTCAAAATTAGATTGAGAGCTCGGTAGAAGGCGAAATTTGGAGAAATTTTTGGAGGAAGTTTTTGGGTAATAATTCTTAACTCCTTTATGGTTATATTCTACTAATCTATGCTTGAATTCATCGTTGAAAATTCGGATTTGGGGTGAAAATTTTGAGAAAAAAATTGAGAAAAGTTCTTAGGCCAAATTTTGGGGTTTTGATCGAGATTTTGGTATCGTATTTGAGTAATTTTGGTACGAGCGAACTCGTGAGCGAATGGGTGTTCGTATTTTGTGACTTTTACCCTATTTCGAGACGTGAGTCCGGGTCGACTTTTAGGACGGATTTCGGAATTTTTATATAAATTTTTATTTCATTAATTAGATTAGTTTATTGTAGTTGTATTTATGATATGTAAATATTTTTGGTTAGATTTGGGCCATTCATAGTCAAAAAATCGTGGGAAAGGCATTGTTACCGATTGATTGAGCTTGGTTCGAGGTAAGTGGCTTGCCTAACCTTGTGTGGGGGAAACTCCCCGTAAGAATTTTACTGTTTGTGATATATGAGCGCCGTGTACGTGATATGACGAGTGTGTACACAGGCTAATTGTGTAAAAATCTGATTTTATTTTTGTTTTTACTAAGTAATAACCTGATTTCTCCGTTATTCAAGTTTCATCAATATGTGTAGTATCCTGCTAGATTATAATAGCATGCCTACTTGCCTTAACTGTTTACTTGAACTACGTGCAATATGTTTAGTGAATTTACATATCCTTCCGTAACTGATACTTAAGTTGAACTGTAGAATTGCGTACCGAGATTATGGAATTCTATTATTTTTTGCTTCATATTTACTTTGGAACTACAAAACGGTATTCCGGGAGATCCCCCTATACTCCATATTTACTTTGGGACTACGGAACGGTATTATGGGAGATCCCCCTGCACTGCATATTTACTTTGGGACTACGAAACGGTATTTCGGGAGATCAACCTGCACTGCATA